TGTCTTGCACGACCATGCACTTGACGCTTGTTAAATCGTCTGTTGTCGTCGTCGTGATTGACGATGTTTGCAGCATCTTCTTTTTCGCGCGGAGCTCCTTCTCGGGGAGCCCAAAGCATGTCACATGGTTCATAAAGAACCACTGTAGCGTACTGAGGCGGCGCGCCTTGCAGATGAGGATCGAGCCCTTGCTGCCGGCGCTATGGTCGGGCTCGATACCGCTGAGGTAGTCGCACAAGATGGAGCTGCTGTTGAAGATGGCTTGGCGCGCGAGCGAGTTTTTAACGACAAGTTGCCACGACTTGTAGTAGAGCAGGTGGTCGGCCGCCAGAATGACGGCGAGGTTGATGGCGAAGAGCACCAAGACTGCGGGGACGGCGCGGAGGTAAAAGCTCTCAAAGGCGACCACATGAATCTCATCGAGGGGCTGCGTCTTCTGGTTAAGGTCGTGGGTGACGCTGTTGGTGTACTCAATGTACGGCGGGACGTACACGAGCATAATCGCACTCGCGTACAGCGACGTGACACTTGTGAGGTTGAGGTAGCGCATGATCTACACCAAATAATTGTTCCCAACTTCGCACAGAACAAACTACCGTGCTTTCGCCGTTGTAGGACGATGTCGAAACGAGATTCCAGATCAGTTTGAGCACTTTGAGCGCTGCGCAGTTGATCCACAGAAAGCGCATCGTGAGAGCATACGTTTGCACAAGGTATCGAAACGACGGCGCGTCCGCATTGTACAAATTCATGATACGCAAAAAATAGAGGCAGTTGCTCATGTCGAGGAGTACGCCAATCGCAAAGAGAAACACGAAAATGTCGGAATTGTAGCAAAACATGTCAAACCGCAGCGCCAAACTCGGGTACGGAAAGTACTTTGGCGAAATCGTGCGCAAAATTTTCGAAAAAATCGAGTCGAGTTTCAAACTCTCGAAATCGGCCCATTGCACCGTGCGGCGGCTCGCCAAGTAGCCGCCAACAGCAAACACAATCGCAACCGCTTTCACATAGTGGGACGCCGACGAAAAGGCCGACTGCGGCAAGAGCAACCCGACCTTGTAGACCGACCCGACGTCGTTGACACTGCTGACAAGCTGCAGTGTCTTGGCCGCGTCGTTGTAGACCATGGTCGCGCGACAATGGCCAAACCCGAGCTCGGGAATCGGACTGCACCCGGTGCAAAAGCTTTTTGGAAATAGCTTGAAAAATCCAATCCGCGTCGACTGGAGGCGTGAATGGTTGGCGACCGAAACACCCGTTGTGAGACGCATGTCGGTGCCGGTGCGACCGGGTGCGTACCCGAGACTCTGGAGCGTATCGTCTTGCATGCTTGCATTGGCTCTCATCTCGGTCGTAAACAAATGCGAGAGCGCACTGCCCTTGTAATACGTCACGGTGTTGGACGCGACACCGAGGTACGCTGTTGACGATGCGGCCATATCAAAGGGGTACGTGGCCACCAGCATCTTGCACTGATCGATGCTGGCTGAGAGCGGAAACGACCCGACCGAGATGAAGTAGACATCCGGGCTCTTGGTCACCATCGCGTGGACCGTATGGTTGATCATCCAAAACCCGATTTTGGACACATCGTCCAACCCGCTGGCGACTGGAAAGCTATACTGCGCCGTGAGGTCGGATGCATGCGAGACGGTCGCGAGGGGCGTCAAGAACGCATAGGCGTCCCCGATGTAGTCGTTGATGGCCCAGTTGTTGGTGACGCTATCGATCGCGACAAGCAGAATAACAACAAGCCCGAGGAGCATATCAAAGTGTCGCAAAAGCTTGGCCACACGCGCGCGCGGCGGCTTGACTTGAACCACATACGACGTCGGCCCATTTGGCGCCAGCGGTACCATAGCTGGCCTCGTTTCGCGCCGATGGATTTAGCAAGTGCCAACCGGCGCGTTTCCAACGGATCGGTTTCGTGGTTTTGGATAGTACAGTATCCAGTTTTGGATAGGCGTACTATCCAAGTACACATCTACTTCCGTCGTTCATCTCGTCGCGGGTCGTGTTTGGGAGATTGACAAGTCGTATGCTCTCGGTTGGGGTCGATAATGGGAGTGTATTCCTGCCAGAATGGATGATCCAGCTGCCTCGAACGCCGCGCTCGGGCGTGTCGATCGATGCACTCTCAGCGTCGTTTCCGCGTAAAACCCTGCAACGACGGAGCGCGGGCGCCATTTTGACCGGTCGCATCAACCGCCGTTGGGCTAGACCGGCCAAGTCGGCATTTTCAAAGTAGAATTGTCTGCAAAATGCAACTTTTAACGTAGCGACATCGATGGTCGATGGTCGATGGATCCTCGCTCATAGACCAAGTAGTATACCCGTCCCGAGAGATCTACTAGAGTCTGCATCGTGCAAAACGTAGCAACTCCGCGAGTCTTTTTTCTGTGTACAGCAAACCCATGGTATATATATCGTGTAATTAATGTATTCACAATGGAATTTCCGAGCTGCCTCCGTTGATCGTGACGTTAACGCTTCGATTGCATGGGCCACCCACGTCAAGGCGCGACTGCGGACAGCTGCAGCAGCAGGAAGACGCCGTGCATGTCGCGGCCTCGAAAGCGTCCCGAGCTCCATGTATTTTGCAACGGTCTGGAGATGCAGGACACGGAGCCGCATCTGCACTTGGGCGTTAAGGCACAGAGGCCATCTCGGGGTCCTGGGCCAAGAACTAGGTCGTGTACGGCGACCAAGGCCGTTGGAGCTCGGCGAGACGCCAAACCGTTGTCGTGGGCGTGTCCGTGCGGCCAGGGCCAAGAGGTTGAGCGCATCGAGCTGGCGCAGCGCTTGCAGTCCGTCAACGGTTCACGTGCGACGTCCGGAGCTGATACAGAGTGGCGTTAGCGCCGTATTGTGCAAAAGCTGAAGAGTCGGCGCTACTGGCAGCTGAGCTCGAGATGACGCAGTGTACCGTCGAAAAGGGCTTGCGCTAACATAGTCGTGTTGACCCTCGCGAGTGTCGAGATCGCCATCGTCACAAGCAGCGCCTCGGGATCGATGGACCGTAGCATCATCTGCCGAGATCCAAGCCATAGCGCCACATGGTGTACGCTCGCGACCGGAAGCAGCTGGAGCTCCACCTGGTGCAGATGGACGTCTGACAAGAGCGGCGTCGTCGCGCCCATCCGGTGGCGCTGTTGTGACCTGCAAGTGCAGCGAGACGCTTCGCGGCAGCTCGGGACGCACGAGGTTGCGCGTGTCAAAGGGTGTACATGGCGGCGGTCGTACACGTGTACTGTATCGTAAAGCAGCGGCGTGCCCGTGACGCGCTCGGGCGTGCGCGACAGCATCACGTGCGCAGGTGCAGCGTGGGCCAGTAGTCACGTAGTGGCAGGAAGCCCACGAGCTCGGCGAGCGCGGCCAGCGTCGAGGCTGTGCAGCGCCAGCGTGCGCAAGAAGCCATGCACCATCTCGGGCGCGTTCGCGAAGCACAGGACGCGGCGCGCGCTCGGGCTGCAGCCACGCGATCGGACCGTCCATCGGCGGCGTGACCACGTGGCAAGTCGGCGGTTGGAATTCTCGCATCAGCGACAAAATGTGGCTATTAGTGGCGAAATATGGCGCATGCCATATTCAACAAAACGGTTGATTTCTCAGGCTGTAGCTCTCGCACAAGGACAGGACATGGCGCGAAGAGGTCCTCTAAGCGTCTTCTATCGCCTGTCAAAGCTTGGGCGATTTCATTTTCAGACGCGATCGCCGCTGTTTCCAGCGTCAGCGCCCGCGCCGTGGCATTTCAACCGATCGTGGATTGGCTAAAAATGAAGAAAAAGGCGCAGCCTGCATTATTTTGTAAAATCTTTTTTATGATGAGAAAATTGTATGGCCACCTCACAGCTTTCAATTGGCATATGCCACGTCTGGGCTGCCGAATCGTGGTCGACATTCGGCACTTTGTTCAAGCTAGGCGCTGCGGGGCACTGCTGCTGCTGAATGCTACCAAACGAGGAAGGCCCCAGAACTAGCTATTTCATAAACGCAGCTCTAAACCTCGACATCAGCCACGAATGGAGCCAAAATGGAACAAAATTCCATCGCGCGTCGAAGCGTCTCATCCGCGTTTGCTGCTCAGTTACTGCACACAGTGGTATCTATAACTCTCGGTGGTGATCAAGTCCATCGCCGCTCGTTTCGAGTGTTTTTGCAATACTTTAACCAAACCATTGAATGTCGTGAACAGCATTGTCCATACCGGTATCTCGTTGTCCACAGGACTGTACAAATCCACCAATCAAATCCGACGAATCGGTTCCTTTTCGTTGTTTTTAGCCAATCCCATGCCATCACAGCCAATGGCAACTTCAACAAGTAGCTGGGTCTGGCGGGAATGGGCAATGCCAGATCCACATTCGCGCTCTGACACCCATGCGTTGGTTGGCTCTGCTGTGCTTGACCCTGTTGAGCACCGCGCAGGTCATCGACGCGGCCGCCTGCACCGACGACGAGACGACGGCGGCGCTTGTGCCGTACAAGGCCGAGCTCGCGCTCAACCTCGCGCTCTGTGGCAACGACGTCGGCTACTCGACAGCGGCGATGGCCAACGGCGACTTTTTCTCGTCGTCGACGACGACGCCGGCGCGCGTGTCGGCCTTTCTCAAGAGCACCAACTGCCGCGCGCTCTTTGTTTTGTATCAAAAAGCCACGAGCAACATGGGATGCACGACCGGCTACCAAGGCGTCACATTCGAGCAGTACGCCGCGACGCTGCTGCCGGCCAGTGGTGCGACACCGACGCCGACGACAGCCAAGCCCGGTACAGCCAACTGCACCGACAACAGCACCATGACGGCCTTTGCCGCCATCGAGCCCGAGCGATCCCGGTTCCAGTCGCGCTGCGCGATCGACATGGGCGACATCCCAGTCGCGTACCTCTACAACAATACGCTCAAGCACAAGATCACCGATACGCAATTTGCAGCGTTTTTAGCCAGTTCCGACTGTGCGGCGGTCGTCGCGGTCGAGAAGAAGGCGTGGGGTGCGATCACGCCGCCTTGCGTCATGTACGACGGTGCGCTGGCGTTTACGACACGCGAGATTAGCACCTGGACGTTTACCGAGTACGCGCAGCGCTTTTACGAACGCAACATCCCGTCAACGACGTCGCCAGCGTCTCGAAGCCCAACGGACGCGCCACGCACGAGCACGAGCACGACCGAGGCGCCTCGACCAGTCGCGCAGTCGGCCGCCGCCCGACGGCCAACGAGCGCTCTACTCGGTCTTGCAGTCCTTTTCGCAGCGACATGGGGTTGTGTGAGCTAGTTGCCCACGGCGAGAACAAATGTAAACTTTATTTTCTTTTCAATTTCTTCCACGAGGTATTATACTAATAGTTCAGGGAATTCCAGGACGACGACGCTATGTAGTAGGACGCTATGAGCGTGTTTTGCGTTATCCTTTCGGGTCCAATACACGTTTCCTACAGAGAGACTGGCAAACGTCGCGCAGATTCGTGGGCGGCTCTAGCTCCTTTGGAGTCGCCGGTGCACGCTTGCGCCCCTGGCAATTGCCCACGACACCACGGAGGTGGGTGGTGGCGAAGGCAACAAGGCAGTGCGGTGCCCTCTAGCTGCACTGGAGCCATTAGACGACCCGTGAGAATCTTCCGACGATGCTAACTTTGCCAACACCCTTGCAAAGGCTGGTGTCGAAGAAGTTCGTCGCGCCTCGAAGCTTTGCCCCCTCTCCAAGTGATATGGATTGCTATTATACATCGTATCGTGCCAGCTCCGATTGTGGTCTGCTGGTGTGTCCACCTCTCTCGCACCAAGCACAGCTCTGGCTCTGGCTTGCAATAACATGGACGGTTGGACTAGTCAAACATAAACACTGCGATATATATATTGTATTGCTCACACAAGTCACCATGGCAGCGGTCAATATGTGCCACATGTCGACACTTCACCACTTCCACTGGACGCACCACTGACCACGGAGCCCAATTGGAGTCGATTTGCTCGCCTTCCACCAATCCGACGACACGAAATCGATCTTTTCAGCCAATCCATGCGCGCGGTCACAGCCGACAGCAACCAGCTACTTGTTGAAGATGCAGTCGCACCAAGATCGAAGTGCACTTTTTCTTTGAGCGAGCCATGCATTGGTATAGCTATCGTTGGCTCGCAGTGCTAAGTCTCTTGCCAAGCGTGGATGCGGCAACGTGCACGGACGCCGAGACCACCGCCGCGCTTGCACCGTACTCGACCGCGATCACCATCGACATTCAGCTCTGCGCCGCCGACATGGGCTACACGCGGGCTGACCTGCTCGCTGGCAAGTTTCTCTCATCGTCGACGACACCAGCGCAAGTGACTGCGTTTCTAAAGAGCGCCAACTGCCGAACGCTCTTCAACTTGTACCAAATCGGCACGAGCTCGCTCTCGTGCTCGACGGGCTACCAAGGCGTGACGTTTGAGCAATTCGCCGCAACGATCATCCCCGGTACGTCGGCCGCACCGGCCACAAGCAAACCGGCGACGGCCGCGCCAGTGACGGCCGCGCCAGTGACAGC